GTTAGAAATGTTTGTTTATTTTTTTAAGTTTTTTATTATAAAATAGAACACAGATATAGGAATCCACACACTAGGAACATATAGTTTATTAAATTACTATTATCCAAACACTCATAACTACTATGCAGGTCAAGAAATAGAATTCTGCCAACCTTCTTAAAACTCCTTTCTATGCCTCCTGTCTCCCTCCAAAAGTAACCATTATCCTGACTTTTAAAGTGTTGACTTCCTTCTGTTTCTTTGTGGTTTAATCACCCTGATGTACATCATCAGATGATAAAATTTAGTTTTGCCCATAGTTTGGAATAGATCTCTTTAGTCTCTTAATCTATTGCATCCCTGCTCATCCCTTTCTTTTGCTTATAATCCATCTGTTGAAGAACCCGGATGGCTTGTACTGTAAGTTTTCCACAGTTTGCATTTGGCTGATTAGATGCATGTGATGCAGTTCTGTATTTTCTGCAAATCACCAGGGGGATCCAGAGCCTCTACCCATTTCAGGTTTGATCCCTTTGGCAACACTATGGTTGGATTTGTGCCATTTCATCAGAAGGTACATAATGTCTGGTTGTCTTTTGTGTGTGTGTAATATTTTCAACCACTGGTGTTCATTGCCTAGATTTTTTAATTCATTAAAGGTTGCAAAATGGTGGTATTCTTTTTTTTTTAAGATTTTATTTATTTATTTGACAGAGAGAGACACAGCGAGAGAGGGAACACAAGCAGGGGGAGTGGGAGAGGGAGAAGCAGGCTTCCCGTGGAGCAGGGAGCCCGATGCGGGGCTCGATCCCAGGACTCTGGGATCATGACCTGAGCCGAAGGCAGACACTTAACGACTGAGCCACCCAGGTGCCCCAAAATGGTGGTATTCTATCATTTTGTTTTCATTTAAGTGGAGGAAGTTTATAAACAGTTTCTTCAAAAAGAATTTCAGTTTATATAGGAAAGGTGAGATAGAGTCTTGATTCTTTCAAGAGAAATGAATTCGTTCCTTGTCGTTGTCTAAAGGTGACCAGCTAATTTTTTATTTTCTTTTTTTAGTCACTATAAACTCATGTATTTAAATATATTTGATGGGTTTCAATCCACTGGATTTTTTGTGAAGTTCAAATTGTCCAGTCTTTGGCCAAGTGGGAGGCTCCTGAGTTATTTTTACATGATCCTAGTAGTCTTTGGTAGCTCTTCGCTATCAAAGGCATAATAAGATATTTCAGACCTCTTGGTGTATTTTAGCCTCAAAGTACTAACCATTTCTCCAAGAAGCCGTGGTCTGTTTTAGTGGAAGACTGTGTTTCAAGATGTTCATTGTTATTGGCCTGGCCATTGTTTTTAGGCCTTTTCATTGGACAGAACTGGGAAATAGTATGTGTTCAATTTAAAATCTTGTCTTCATATTGATATTGCTTCTTCAAATCCAGGATTAGAAGGTATTTCCTAAACCTCTTCTGTATTTTATCTTCTTTCTTATACACCAATACTCCTCATTAACAAGGACAAAGGAGATAAGAGATACATTCTCATGACTAATTATTTGCTTTATTCTACCTTTGAACACAATAGTGTAGGAACAATAATATTCATACTACCACTATAATTAAAGTTACATAAAATGGTTAAAATATTTTTGTATATCCTCTTCCCTTTTTCTTCTCATTTTTGTAGTGTTATATTATGTCTTCATTGCCAGAGCATGTAACTGCTTCGTATGATAATCTCTCTCATTCAGCCATCATATATCCTTAGTTCTATCAACAAGTATATATCTAATGTTCACTGTGAGTTTCATATTGATACTTTTTGAGTTATTTTGATTGTTAAAGTTCCTTCTCTAACAAATTCCCTGACAAAGTCTCATGGGAACAATATTTTCTGAGTTCTTGCACATTGATCAAATTTTGTCTGTGCCTTATATTCTTCAAAGTCAGTTTTGCTGGCTATAAAATTCTTAGCTCACATTTTCTTTCCTTGAGTATCTTAAATTATAGTATTTCATTTCTTCTGGCATAAAGCTTTGCTATTGAAAAATCTGAAGAGCATCTAATTTTCTTTCCTTTATAAGTCATGTGTTCTATTTGCCTAAATGCACAAGAATTTCCTCTCTTGTTTATTTTTTAGAATCCAGTTATTTTGCTTGAAAATATGCATCGGTCCTCTCAGGTACATGATATGTCCTTTCAGAATGTAGTTTATATGTATATGAAAGTTTTTATGAGTTATAATGTTTAGTATTTGTTCTGTTTTCTTGTTTTGATTTTCTTCTTCAGGGACCTCTGGTACTCATATATTAATTTTTTCATCTATCTTCAATATTTGTCACTTTTTCTCAAATTTTTAAAAATCTTTTTAAAAAATTTCTTTTGGATTTTATTTATTTATTTTAAAGGTTTATTTATTTATTTGAGAGATAGAGAGCAGGGGAGGGACGGGGGGGGGTGGAGAGAAACCCAAGCAGAGTCTGACATGGAGCTGGATCTCATGACCTGGAGATCATGACCTGAGCCCACGATATGAGCAAAAACCAAGTCTGATGCCTAAATGACAGCATCACCCAGGCACCCCTCTTGGATTTTAAAATGTTCTCCCTCTTTTCTCTTTCCACTTCTCTTAAGGCATTTGCTATTGTGTTTATTCATTCTTTAGTCCTTTTTTTTTTAAGGATTTTTCTTTTATTTATAATTCTTTCTTAAGTTTCATGATCTAGGGGCACCTGGGTGGCTCAGTCGGTTAAGCATCTCACTTTGGCTCAGGTCACGATCTAGGGGTCCTGGGATCGAGCCCCAGGTTGGGGGTTCCTGCTCAGTGGGGAGTCTGCTTCTCTCTCCATCTACCCCCTTCCCCTAACCCTCTGCTCATGCTTGCTTTCTCTCAATCTCATATGAGTAAATAAAATCTTTTTAAAAATAGTTTTATGACCTCATTCTATAATATTTTCTTTTTCTAATCTATGTCTTTTTTCATATCTCATATCATTTTTAGTGTATTTTAATTTATTTGAGATAGTAGTTTACAGTTTTAATCTGTTTTATAGGTGTATGTTTTTGGCATGCTTTCAGTATGTGTAAGGATGGTATTCTATTCCTTTTTCTCATTTTTCTTGTAATAACTTTATATGAATTTTGACCTTGATAATTTTAAGTTGTTCATTTTTATGTGAACTCACTCTCCTTGAAAGTTTAGAAAGAGGCTCGATGCACTTAGCTATTCTAGCTTCACAGAGCTCTCACTTCTGTTATTTTTGTGTGATGTTAAGAAATATGGTGGCTTGATTGGTGAGATAGCCTGGCTCTCTGCTCATCTCCCCCACTTCATCTGGGCCTTCTTTTTCTTTTACCTCTATTGTCCCTGTCAAGTTCAATTTTGATTATACTCCTAGTAGTTTCTCCTTCATGTGGGACTCTGTCCTGGAACATAGCCATGGCAGATCAGTTTCAAGTGTTTACTGCACTGTCCCTTCAGACCTTCTTACTGTGGGCGCTGCCACTTGCTACCTTATGATTGCAGGCAAGTTATTTAATATTTCTTAGTCCCATTTTCTTCATTTGAAAACCTGGTATAAGAATAGTGCCTATTTGGGGCACTTGGGTGGCTCAGTCGTTAAGCATCTGCCTTCGGCTCAGATCATGATCCCAGGGTCCTGGGATCGAGCCCCACATCAGGCTCCCTCCTTAGTGAGAAGTCTGCCTCTCCCTTTCCACTCCCCCTGCTTGTGTTCCCTCTCTTGCTGTGTCTCTCTCTGTCAAATAAATAAATAAAATGTTAAAAAAAAAAAGAATAGGGCCTATTTTATGGTGGTGTTTTGGGGATTAAATGATATCATATGTAAAGATCTTACTTGAGTATCTGATACTTTGTGTGTATCTGGAATATATGAGCTCACCAATAAGCCCACATTATTCCCGAGCTGTAGTTTAACACACGCCACCAAATAAGTAGCTGACTAATGTTAACTTTGCATATATTTTTTCTTTTTATGGTGAAATATCAAGCCCCATTCAGAGGTAAACCAAACTAAGTTATATATACACACATACATACCTTATGGTAATTAACACAAAAAGGAACTGAGATTTGTTCAAAGTTTTCCTTCTGACCAATAATAAATATGTGTGTATCACCCTCCCAAAAGATTTGCCTGCGTACTCCTGAATAGGTATCCTTGTTTGGAAAACATACACATTATTTACCATCTTCTCTTGCATTTATTTGGGTGTTTTCTCCCTGTATACATCCTGACAATTTTGAGCAAAGCAGCCTTCAGGTGATTTTCCAGGTACGGTTTCATTTTTTTTTTTTTCATGCAGCTGCCCTGCTTCCCATTTTAACAATGTGGAAATGATGTGTAATTATGCATTGTTAGATATTTGGGTATGTTTATTTTTACTTACCTTGAAGAATAAGTACTTCTTTCTGGAGCACGGCAACTATATCATCATAGCACTTTGAGATTATGAGAGGTTTCATGTTTCTACCTCCATCAGATTCCAACAATGGATGTAGAAAGGGCAGGCTACTGCAAAAAGATGAGGTTTTAGGCGTGACAAGGCCCATCTCTTCATCTAAAGCTCTCCGTACTTGCTGGTTGATGCCTAGATTTCTCCTTTTTCTCAAGTCCTGTGTCCTTGAGATGTATCGTGATTCAAAACTTCCTGAAGGGAGACATTTGAGTCAGTGAAGGAGGAAAATAGACTTTGATAGGAGAGGGCCTATAATGTATTAAGCTACGGACCATATATGTGACTTTCAAACTGACATATAATAAAGTTAATTCAGAAGCATTTATCAGTCATCTCTCTTTGTTTTCCTTTGATATGATATGCACTGGGAAAATTAAAAAGAGTTGAAACATTATTTCCAGGGATAATGAGAACTGGGCATAGTTTAGAAAAATTTTTATTCTCAGGCAGTAATTTAACCCATATTGCTAAGTGAGTAATAGAGTCATAAATATACCATTCTTCTATTCCTTAATTGTGTGTGTTTTGTTTTTGTTTTTACTGCAGCTTCGGAAAGCAGTGATGGATCACATATCTGATTCTTTCTTGGAAACCAATGTCCCTTTGCTAGTTCTCATTGAGGCTGCAAAGAGTGGGAATGAGAAGGAAGTGAAGGAATATGCCCAGGTTTTCCGTGAGCATGCCAACAAGCTGGTGGAGGTAAGTCAGGAGAAGCCTGAAGAGTAGAATTTATTGTTGGGTTTAATCTCCACATATGGGTCTTGGAATTTCAGTAGATAACCCTTCCTGGAGAAATAAAGTCTTGGAACCTCTCTTTCTTTTACCTTCTGATGCTTCTATCTCTTGCAGAAGAGGAAGATTATCAGTATTCTCTCCTTTCTCTATCCCACAATTCTAAACATGTTCTGGAACATGGGTGCTAATTTTCCTGAACAATAGGTAGAGGCTGAGACAGGAGGGGTAGAAGGGATGCTCCAAAGCACTGAATGCCGGCTTTGATTTGAGGGAATAGAATAAAAATTGCCAAATGGAAGTTTAAACACTATACCCTTCTCTTCTTCCTTATCCCCCTCTCCACTCCATGTCCCTGAACCTAGATTAGCTGGCCACCTGATGAATTAGTGAAAAAAGCATCTCACTTCTCCCAAAGAGATACTGGGATTCCTGATGAAGGATCCTGGGGCAGTAGGATGAGTCCAAGTTCAGAGTCCTAAGTATTTTCTATGTGTTTGAGAATCCTGTGGGAGTTGTTTTATAAATGCAGAATTAGGCTATGTAATATTGAAAAAATATTTATTTAAGGCAAACAAAATAAAAGTGAAATGATAAGCTGCTTATATCTAGGAGCTGAAAACCAACAGCATGGCAAAGGTTGGATTTAGTGATGTGAGACTAAATAGAAACTTAGAGATGTTAAATAGGAAGTGTGTGTGTGCCAGAGGAAGAGTCCAGAAGGGGAAAAGATCCTGACAAATTTAGGGAATAGTTATCAGGGCCAGGCTCTGAGCACTTAACAACAACAACAACAACAAAACTCTGGTATATCTACACTTTAATTTAGGATAAAATGAAATTACTCAAAATGACAGGCAACTTAAATACAAGCTACGAGTAAAATAGATTATTTCTTGTTTTCTTCAGATGGCAAAATTAAATGCAGAATAAGGTCATCAAATGTGAAATCTTCTCTATTTTTCTTGGAGTGAGCGATAGGGTTGTGTTCCGATGTAATTGAGTCCTAAGCACCGACTTAGCTTGCTCTTTGGTTACTCCAGCACTGCTGTTGCCTCTGGGGCCGAAGACACCAGGCCAGCAGGAAGCCCTCCATCAAGCCCAGAGGGAGCCCCTGGTCCTCTAGGACGCAAGCTGAGTCATTGTCACCCATGACAGCAGTCGTCAAGTTGAGTGTCCAAAACCCTAGGCCACAGTAATGGAACCCTTGAACTTACCTCCATAACCCCAGTGTCTTGAGGAAACACCAGTCTGGAGCTAAAAATAGACCTACTTAATGACATCAAGGCAGTCAGTCTCTTGCTCTGTCTTCACCTACAAGGCAAGCACTCCATCACTCCTCACATTCCACCTCCATGTTCCAGTTCACTTGGCCATTGAGGAATCCAGTAGCCCTGGCTACTTCCTTGTTTTGAGAAAGAGAAGTTATAAAAGGGGGAGGGGTAGAGTGGGAAGGGGAGGAGGAAGAAAAGAAGTAATGCTGAATGAATGCTACAAAAAGTTTTAAAACATTCATATGTAATAAAATGGTAGTATTAACATTGAGGTAGATCATCGCATTTATATAACTTCAATGTTTACAAGATGATTGCAGAATTTATAGAAAACATTAATTAATGGTGTGTTATAGGCATGGTGAACAGAAAAAGGGATATGTGTTTAAAGTTGTGAGATAAACGTAATCTACTTCCAGTCTTGTTTGTGTCATTCTGTAATTCTCTACATAGCCTCATTTGAGATAATACTTACTTGATGCCCTGTTTAAATGTGAGCCCAAGTAGCCCTCATGTCTACTCATTCTCCCTTCTCCTGTGATAGACCCTGGACGCATTTACCATATCCCCTCATCCCATCTGTAGGATTCACTGTAGGGGTATCCAGCTACTGTGAATAATCCTTGGCCCTAAACTGGTGGCAGAAGCAGAAGCTCAGGTCAGTCAGAACTCCGTGTTTCAGAAAATCATTGTTTTGCTTCCCTCAGTTATTCCCTTCATTACCCCTGGGTGGTTACTGCAGCCAGCAGCATTTTGGAATGTCTTGGTGCCTAGGAGATGGAAGGACTGAGATGTGGGATTGGCCTCTGTTTGATTGGAGAGGACTGGAATCAAAACTATCTCTGTAGCTTATGTCCTTCAAACAAGTGCTAGATTGCTGATGCATACATGTAAAAAAAAGCTGGAGCACCAGGCTGAGAGTCACCAGTTTTCTCATCTTGAAAGTACTTGTACAGAAGTAGGCATCTTTCTGGGCCTTAGTGTTTGTGTCTGTAATGTGAAAAATTTGGTTAATATATTGATTTTATGTCCATTGACCTTGAAAATTCACCTACTAATTCCAGAAGTTTGTTTCTTTTTGGATGTTCTGTATATATAATCGTGCTGTCTGCAAATTATGACTATTGTAGTTCTTCTTTTCCAATTCTTTTACCTTGTTTTTTTCCCTTTCATTCTTACACTAGCAAGAACCGTCAGTACAATATTGTGGAAATTGATATTTTTGTTACTTCTAGATCTCCATGAGAACATTTTGATGTTACCATTAATTCTACTGTTGTTATAGACTTCTTACAGATATTTTTATTTGCTTAATTAAGTTCTCTCTTATTATTCATTCACTAAGAGTATAGAATTGTTTCAAACAAGTTTTCTGAACATTTTGAGACATTTATATGTTTTTTGTCTCCTTTAATCTCCTTCAGAAGTGTTGGTGTCTAAATTATGCTTTCCCTCAAAAAATGAGTAGAAAATTCTTTCTTTTTAGTTTTTGGAAATGAATAAGATTGCCATTACTTATTATTATTTCTTTTTAATATTTGGAGGAATTCACTGATACAGCAACTTAAGCATAGGTGTTTATGTGAGGAAAGGTTTACAAATTGCACATTCAGTTATTTTTACTAAACATAAGACTATTTAACTTTATAATTTCTTTTTGGGTCAGCTTTCATAAGTTGTATTCTAGGAATTCGTTATTTTTATTTAATTTTCTTATTGTTTGACATAAAGTTATCCACAATATTCTCCTTTTAAAAATAATCTGTATCTGCATTATTACTTAACAAAAACTTTTTTACTCTTTATAGTGCTAATTGGTACCTTCTCTCTTTTTTCTCAATTACTATTTTTTTTAGATTTTATTTATTTATTTGACAGAGAGAGAGAGAGAGACAGCTAGAGAGGGAACACAAGCAAGGGGAGAGGGAGAGGGAGAAGCAGACTCCCCGCTGAGCAGGGAGCTCGATGTGGGACTCCATCCCAGGACCCTGGGATCATGACCTGAACCGAAGGCAGATGCTTAACCAACTGAGCCACCCAGGCACCCCTTGATTACTTTTGCAAGAGGTTTATCAATTTAATAATATTTTCTATAACACAGCTTTAAAGTTCGCAGATTTTGTTTTCTATTTTATCTATTTATGCTGTTATCTTTATATTTTTTCTGCTTTCTTCTGGTACATCTTACTGTTTTTCTAACTTTCTAAAATAAATAATCGCATCATTGATTTTTAGCCTTCTTATTTTAGTAATATATGCATTTAAGGCTTAATTTTTCCCTAAGCTATGCTTTTATCTGGTTATTTTCTATTGACCTAGTTTTCAGTTCACTCATCCTGCTTCCATCTGTGTCCAATATGCTTGAAACTGATCTATTGGATTCAATTATTTTTTAAATTTCTAGTTAACTATTTTTCATTGATTCCAGTTCTCTAGTAAATTCATTATTACATCCTCTCTTTTAAAGAGATATGTTAATCATAGTTATTTTTAAAGTCTAACTCAAAGAACTCCAATCTTTGGGTCAGTTTTGTTTTTGTTTTGTGGTTACCCCAGAGAGGGCAACTCCTCCCCAGCTACACACAAAAAATGGTTTGTATTTTGAGACTGATGATGCATCACACCTATGAATAGGGTATTAGCAGGTTTATTAGTCACAAAAAGGGACTTTTGAGGAAGAGCAGAGCAGGCACCCAGGCTAGTCCATAGTAGCTTCAGCACAAAGAAGAAAAAGTGGTTTTGTTTTTTATCATGTTAGGGAGGTGGATTGGGGTTGAGACCTCTGTGTGGGAGCTAGGGTTTGAATGGTTCAAACTTCCCTACTGGCATTGAAAAAAAGGTGGGCTTTCATAGCTGCTTGCCCAGTTGTGGGGCAAAATGGAAAGGGGGAAGGCTGGGGCTTAAAAGCTGTCAGCCATCAAACATTCAAAATGGAGTAAAAATCTTCATTTTGATTCACCCCTGATGTTTGATGACTGGAATGTGCCATGTTTCATTTAATTGAATTTGAATTTGTTTAAGTAAGCTATCGTGGAGCTCTGTAAGGCTTCCAAAATGGAGACATATTTTATTATGGCATCTGTTTTTATTACTTGATTTTTACCTTGATTATGGATTTTTTTATATGTCAGCTAATTTTTTATTAAATGGCCAAAATTTGTATGGAAAAGTATAAAGGGTCTGTGTTGTAATCTTTTGGGGCTGCTATAAGAAAATACCACAGACTGAGTGGTTTATAAACAACAGAAATTTATTTCTCACAGTTCTGGAGGCTGGGAGGTCCAAGATCAAGGCACCAGAATGGGTGAATTCTGGTGAAGGCCTTCTTCCTGATTGACAGCCGGTGGCTTCTCACTGTTTCCTTACATAGTAGAAGGTGTAAGGGATCTCTGTGGAGTCTCTTTTGTAAGAACATTAATCCCATTCATGAGGTCACCATCCTTATGACCTTAGAGCCTCCATGGCTCCACCTCCTAGTACCGTCATACTGGATATTAGGATTTCAACATATGAATTTTGGAGGACAGACACCAACATTCAGACTATAGTCTGGATAGTGTTTTCTCTTTCCAGAAAGGATTCACTATTCTCTAAAGGGCAGAGATGTGATGAGCATCAGTTGTTGTATGGAAGTGTTGAATCAATAAATTATATACCTGAAACTAATATACTGTATGTTAACTAACTGGAATT